TAGAATAGAATAGAATAGAATAGAATAGAATAGAATAGAATAGAATAACAGAGTTGGAAGAGACCTTGGAGGTCTTCTAGTCTAACCCCCTGCTCAGGCAGGAACTCCAATGCCATTTCAAATAAATAGTTGTCCAATCTCTTCTGAGCCATCCATAGATCCAAATGGAAAAAGATCTCACATGGCTACTCTTCACAGTATCACATTATTCACACTATTTACCCCAGATTTGGAAACAGGACTAAATGGGTTCCTAAATGGGGCCCTAAACCCCATTTAGCGGGTTATCTTAAATAGGTATAATATGAACAGGCAAAGGTTATATTCACTGCTGAGCAAAGATATCTCAGAGGCCACTGCAGAAAGAAGAAAAATATGAATTTCTTTCTTGGTGAAGTAGCTTTAACAGATATTTAAACAGCGTAAAATGCAAATTCTTTTTCATATAAGCATACACATACACATGGATCTGTGAGCATTATATTTATGCCCCCAAATCTTTTATTATATTTCTGTTGCATGATAATTTATATAACTGAGAGTCTCTTTAAAGTGTGAGATGGGTGGCAGGTAAATTTCATAAATAAAATGAAATATTAAATATGCATATATGGAGATGAAGTACTTTAACTTAAATAGGTAAGGTTTTCCACAGACAACTAAAATATTTAGAAAAATGGAGAGCAGAAACAGTGAAATAGACACAGAGCGAACCAGGCAATTTTTCAAGTGGTAACCAAAGGCTTCCAAGTCTCAGTGTTTAATTTACCACTAAAAACAATATGAAAGAAAGAAAAAAGAGAGAGAGAGAGAGGGAGAGGGAGAGACAGAGACAGAGAGGGTGGAAGGAAAATGTTGACGCTTCAAAAGATAAAGATCTTTTCAAAAGGTGTTGGTTTATTTCATTTACTTTCTTAATAAGAAAGTAAAAGCATCAAGTATATAGTTTCTAAGTAAAAAAAAATGAACAAGTAACTTTTAAAATGGATGAAAACATTAGTTTGGGTTGTGGGGCTGAACCTCCCTGTTCTGAATGCAGTGGAGTGAATTGTGAGCCAAGCTACTGTATCTTCAAGGTATGTCAATATTTTGGGTATGGTAAACAAAGCTCCATCTATTTTTTTATACATATTTGCACAAACGGTGCCTGTAAAAAGAAGGGAAACTTTGATCACACTCTATTTAAAGGTTCAGGGTACTGTGGATCATAGTTTATAGAAACACTATAGCCCTGAGACCCAGGATACCCTGCAGAAATTCAAAAATACATTTACAAATCTGTTTTTTCTCCAACAAAGAAAAGGAAGTTTCTGTGAGGGGATTCAGAGGAACCCCCATATGCTTGTCTTTAGTGCCATTTATATGGGAAACTAAAATTCTGAAACTAATGATTTCCCTTGGGATCAGTTTGGACCATGATTGATCTTTGGGTGAGCAAGGTATGAAGCTTGATTATGTCACATCAGAAGATGGATTAGATTTGACCAACTGGCTGCCCCTTCGTGATTTTGTGATCTCATTTCCCAGCTTGAGTTCTGAGAGCCGTCAGAAATATCAAAATACATTAAAACAAGAAATTATTTCACTTACTGGAGGTGGAAGATCTGGAATATAATTCTGTAGGGAAAAGAATAATAATCACCCATTATTTATCTTGTTTTATCCTGCTAACACTAAAACCATTATAAAATGTAATAAAGTAAAGGTTTCCCTCGTCCAGGTGTGACCAACTCTAGGGGCTAGTGGTCATCTCTGTTTCTTAGCTGAAGGAGCCAGTGATGTCCATATACACTTCTGTGGTCATGTGGCCAGCATGACTATATGCTGAGGTGCACAGAATTGCTGTTACCTTCCTACCAAAGTGGTATCTATTGATCTACTTGCAGTTGCTTGCAATTCCCTTTTGAATAGGGTTCAAACAAAGATATCTTCCATATAGCATTACACAACTATATTTATTATATCTAGGATTTCAGTAGAACCCAAGAGTGACCTGTTTAGTTTGGGATTAACCCACAGAGTTTGAGCCACACGGGTTTCTCTGCCTTCTCTCATGTTACCTTTCCTAAAATGCAGGTTTCATCTCACCTGAGCATCTGTGCTGAGCACAGAAATCAACAAGGCTGCACCCACAAAGAACAGCTTCATTTTTCTCAGCTTGAGGTTTCCTTCCCCAACTGAGAAAGTGTCCTAAGTATGAATGGGTGGGTTAAGGGTGGATCTTTATTGATATATCAGTACAAGCCAGACTGCCCAAACTGAAAGCCGCAATTGATAATGCTTTTAAATTATCTTATCAGTTGGGAAAGGTCAGAAGGATTAATGTATCAATGGAAGGATCTAGTGCCAACTGAAATATTCATCTAGCCTTTATATTATTTCTTCTGATAATGAACTTGACTTGCAAGAAAATATTGATGAAATGTCACCTAATTTATCTGATGGCAAGCAAAGTGGAGAGATTCTGAAAGGCCATTTGTGATTTAAAACCTTTTTCCTGGTAGGCCTTATCCTTCAATTACCTTATCTTTGCCCCATCTTTTGATTATATTATATTAGTGCCTGTGATTTATTTTCACTCTAGGGGAGGGGAGATTTGAGGGGGGAATTTTTTGTCAGTTTTCATGCACCTGTTCTAAATATCTGAATCATAGTATGAATAACTATATATATTATAAACTATTCTAAAAATACAAATTCCATGTATAGTTGTAAAAGAAGAAACAGACATCTTGCAATCTCCAAAACTAAAATTATATTTACTTACTTAAGCTTTCGTCAGACTCCGCTGACATCGTCAGAGTATTAAGCTACCATTACAGAGATCTATGCCTTTATATATCATTAACCAATTTAGCCCTTGCATGCCTAATAGGCCCTTCCAACTGCCTCCCATTTGTAATTAGCCCTGTTGTTTTTGCTTCAGTCATGTTGGTCAAAGGAGGCTTGTCTTTTGTTGTTGTTTCCTCCCTTGTCAGAATCAGCCTGGAATGCTTATCTCTCAGGGGTGATGTTGACCTGCCAGCTATTGCAATTTGTTGCTTTGCTCAAGATAGAGATAGAAATAGAGATAGATAGATGATAGATAGATAGATAGATAGATAGATAGATAGATAGATAGATAGAT